ATATGTTTACATAAAATGAAGCCAGATATGATTAGTCTTGCGTCAAGCTTGCAATATATATATCGACCGTGTAACTCAAACTCGTGTATTTTTCGCGCCAAGCTTGATTCCCTGCACACGATTGCGACGTCGCGTCGACGGTTTTCAAGATATGTGTGCCCGAGCCGTGAATGTGTCTGTGCAGCGCAGTGCTCTGTTTCTCATCCCGGGGATACTCGTCGCTGTGACTACTACTGTATCCTTGCAGCACCATTCCTATACTAAGTTCTTGTCCCGGGGGATATAAATTCCATTCCTTTTCTCGCCAAAGCTCTCTTTGCTCTCTCTCTCTCTCCCTCTCTTTTGGGCGAGAGAGCAAAAGGGAGAAGTTTTTGAAGTAGTAGTGTGAGCGAGCGAGAGAGAGAGAGAAAGTAAGAGGAACCGTTAAACCGAGTGCATACACGCCAGCTACGCTCCACACGCGCGTGAGAAAGGAGGCTGCGCGAAATTTCTCTGTATGTGTGTCTAAGATGTAGCTGCGTGTATGTGTGTACGTGTGAGCAGATAAGAAGCAGACCGCAAGAAGCAGCAAAACCAGCATCGAACGCTCGAGTCTTCCTTGGCTTTCCTCCTCCTTTCTCTCTCTTTCGCTAGCTCTTGACTCATATAATTTATTACGATTCGATGCTTTAGCTTCAGCAGCGGCGGCGGTAGCGGCAGCAACACACGGCTAGGAAAGAGCTTCGCTGCCACAACCATCGCTACGTCAAAAGATAAGGATGCGAAGAAAGAGGAAGAATGAGAGAGAGACAGAGAAACACAAAGATGGAGTAGGTTTCGGCGAAGCACGACTGCAGCTTTTCGACACACTAATACTGTGTGTTTTTTCCATCGTTCGGCTTGCTTTTTTTCTTCGCTCTCGCTTCGCGGTTCATAATAAAAAATACGAGCTTCCGAGGCGATGACCCTGAAATGGAATTTTTCGTACATACCCATTGGAAACTTCGCTCTCTCCGCTAGCTGTACGTCTATATATATTGTAGAATTGATGAGTTTGCTCGTTCTTTGTACATATAGATATGTACGGTATAGACAAACTAGCAACGGCGGGCAACCACACAACCGAGAAAAAGCCAAAATAGACAAAAAAAGAAAGAAGTACGGCTTTTTCGGACTAGGTTGAATTTTTATGCGTCGCCGAGAGAAGCGATCCGTTTGTCATGCTTGATTAAGCAATCGCTCTATATATGTATGTGTGCGCACGCGAATCGTTGAAGATATCGCTTTTCTTGCTCTTTCATAACTGTGGCATAGTGCATATAGAAGGCTCAGGCGTGTACTTTTATGGACCGAACGCTCAATTGAAATACTTTTTTCACGTGCACGAGCGCTTGTATTATATATACACGTATGTGTCAAATCGAATCGCGTCGCCTCGCGCGTCAAACGCTTTTCTTTTTCTTCGAACGTGGCTGCGGGTAGCTGCAGATTGATCGATGTTGCTCGATTTTCGCCACGATTCGCGTAAATCTCATATACAGCAGCCGATGCCTGCGTAGATGTTATTTATTGCTCGCAACTAGCGCGAGCGTATACATATACTTCTAGACTCATTTATTAACATGTCATTATACACCTATAGAACTACACATATAGAAATATACTCATAAAATATACCCTGAAAGTAATGTTAATCTTAGAAGGGTTTTTTAGAAGAGTAAAATATTGTCGCTGATTGGATCAACTTTTGAGCTTGCATGAGCACAAATTGGTTTTGTTTTTTTGCAATTATGTTTCATTGTTTTTGTTGATTGAAAAGTTGAAAACATTGAAAAGTCTAAGCGAATAAGCCCTACACTCATTTTCATCATTGAATAATAATAAAAGCTGAGTCCAGAGCACAGCAGCGACTGACAGTACCAAGTTCATAACAGGGAAAGAGAGTTTACTAGACTCCTTACCCAAATTATCACAGTTTATATCGTGTCCCATAGTACTAGATTGGTTTAACCACAGAGTGCTGTGGTGTGAGTGATATGGGTTGGCGAAAGAAACCTATCACCTGCTCACCTTGCCCACTGCGGTTATAGGAAAGAGACTTAAATGGATATGGCAGTAATTCCCGCGTTTTGAGGACATTAGAGGTATCACAGTATGATAGTATGGACAAAAATCCTTTGGTCGGAATAAAATTAAAGTATGGACTACAATTGACCCGGAGTCCACCCGCTACGAAGAGCCATTCATTCATCATTATTGGAGAAATAAAAATATATGCATTTTGAGGTGAAAATTGATTCTGTAACCACAATCCACTAAGATTATTATAATATTGAAGGTTTTTTTACCATAATATTTTTCACTGCGTACAAACAAAATTTCCAGAAGCTTGTAATATCAACGCGCCAATCCGATCAACGAAATTAATCGTTTTTTTTATTATTGTCAATTTGTATCCGATCCGAACGCGATTTCTCTTACGACTAAATGTCCCCAAACACATAAAGACAACCGTATAATATGTATCACGAATGTTCGATACATAAATTTCAATGTAACAAAAGACGATGTGCGCAGCTCGAAATGAAATTGATAAAGGCGAAGTATAAATAAAATTCGAGCTTTTATCCACATTTGTGCTGGCATTGTTCGTCTTGTATTTTTTTATATATATATGATCTGTACGCGAACACGTTGGAATGCAAAGCCTTAAAAAATGTTTCAAGCTCGAGTGCTCTCATATAGCGCGCTCGATCCCGCACGCAAGCCAGAGAGCTACGTTTCCCTTTTTTATTGGCTGTCTTCGTCTTTATTAGATTTGTATTTTATACAGCTCCATAAAACCGCAGATTTGACTTATACACCGCGTGCGCTCGCGTAGCACATATAGGACGTATGATGTACATGTAGAGGTGTGTGCGTATGACGACTGCGCCATAAATACGCTTATTCGCTTAGACAAAAATATACAATCTTTTTATGAAGTGCTTGGAGAGCCAAAATACTCATTCGAATACGTGAGATTATTATTCATTTTCTATTTTTCTTTTTTCTTTCTATTACTTTTGTATTTCAATTTCATATTAATAATTTCTTAATGAAAAACTTAATGGCGCAAGCTCATGCTTCATTAGTGGGTAAGTGTACACCTTCCCGCGTTTGTACGTGTGTGCCTGTGTATACCTACTAGGCATGCCAGATTAACATATTTTATTATCCAAGGGATAAACTTGGCAACGCACTCGCGTAGCGGCAGCGTTATAGAGAGTCATAGTGCCATCATAATGTAAGCTGCACAACAGCGCGCAACGACAAAACCTCAAGGGATGCATCTCGCAAACTACGTTGAACATCCACGCAGAGCATCGATCAATACGTCCTACATTATGGAATTTTTCTCGTGCCTTGCCCGAAGTCGACTGCGAGGACTGCTCCTCGCTATCTCTCTCTCACTCTCTCTAATCAAGCCTAATTCAACCTGCAAGCACGCGCAGTTGTATAATATACATATGGTCAAGGGACAGCTGTGGTCGGCTTGTCCTCCCGAGCCCGTGTACGAATATAGATAAAATATTCTGCCGTGCGTTTCCGTATACATGCATCGAAGAGCTGCACCGCTGCAGCCGCCGTTACTGCAGCTTCAAAGAGAGCTCCGGCTATTGCGCGACGCACTCGCTGCTGTTTCTGACCGAAAACTGCGGCTTGCGCCGTGCAGTAGCCTTGTGGTCTTGTTAACTCTCCCGCACGAACATGCGACTAAATTGCTCGTGAATTCCATCTCTCTCGCTCGCTCGCTTGTCCGCTCCCTCTCTCTCCTTTTACTCGTCCAACGCCTCTCGATGCCGTGCCACGCTGCGGCAGAGCCGGCGGGACTCGAGGCTACTAGCCAGGGGCCAGGCCAGAGCGAATTGCAGCAGGAAGCCGATAAAAAAGCATAAATATATACGAGCGGAAAGTTACGCAGGCACGCGTGCACCGGCTGTACGAGCTTTTTCTCCTTTTTTTTGGCTCTTCCTTTTTTTGTTATTGTGGTTGTAGTACGTGTGTGCGTCAAAGATGATGGTAGACTAGTACAGCGAACGGCGAGGCCAAAGTGACTAACGCATACACACGCGCACACGAACGAGTTTCTCTTATAAATTTTTTCCTTTTTTTCTGCTAGACTTACGCTTGGCATGACGGTGCGCGCGTTATATATAATATATGGGGTAGAGGAAAATCGATGGACTAGAGATCAAATAAACTGGAGCTCCCTCATCTATCTTTAAGTAGTCAAAGAGGCTTTTTCACCCATCCCGTCTTTTTTCATTTAATTTTCATTCTCTCTCTCTCTCTCTCTCTCTCTCTTTCCCGCATATTTCAGGCAGATATGTACGTACGCGATGATTGTTTTACGGCAGGCTACTGCAACGTGCGCTGATCACGATCTTTTGTCAATTTTTAAGTCAGTCAAGCCTTGTGCCTGGGCCTGTATTAAAAGCGAAAACGAGAATGTGGCATGGAGGGCGGCTTAACAATGTCAATTACGCTCCCCTCTCTCCTTCCATATTCAAGAAATTACACGCACACGCGCACATATAGGCGCAAATATAACGCATATATCTCTCCAATATGTATACATGACTGTAGCGCATGTGTAAACATCGCGAGCGCGCATATATAAATAATGATACGTTGGCATTAATGAAATTGAGGTCAACTTTATACTCGTAGAGCGCGCGAATAGCGCATTTCTGGGTGTGCGTGTACATGTGCAGTACGCGCGGCTCGTGTCGAAGCGAAATTGCCGCGTGCAGTGAATTAAAATTTTCGAAATTACATACATGCGCTAAAAGTAGTCTTTTGCAATTTTTTTGGTTTTTTGACCATTTTTTTTTTTTCATTTCCTTACTAAACTTGTACCTTTATTATTTTTTTTTATTGACAATAAATTTAAGACCGATGATGCATGATTTGCACACGTAAAAGATAAACGTATAAGAAAAGAAAATTGCTGCTCAATAATTTCTATTTGACCTTACCTCTTTATCGCCAAGCTCCGATACTCTGCAGTGTAAAAAAGCCGTTTGACCGACAGCGATTGTAACGTTGCGTGCGACGTTCGTGTCGAATTGTGGCCGACCGCCGCCTCCAATTTTTGCACTCGTCAAGGCTGACGCTACGGCGCCACTACCACTTTTTCCGTCGATCAACACCCTATGATTTTGCTCCAGCGTGCCTGCAATCAAACGAAGCAAAGAAAAAATGTTAATTGAGAAATAGTGACTGTGGTTCGTTGGACGTCGAGTACGTGAGGGTTATTGAGTTGGTTGTATTAACCTGATTCAAAAAATTTTTTCTCGAATTTGCAAATTTTTTTTATTTTATATTTCTGCCTACGTATGTATATAGCTATAATAATTCAAAGTTATATGTTTTGTAATCACAAATTTTGGAAATAATAAATAATATCTTGTAATTTTACCACTCATTTTCTTACTTAAAAAGACTGGAGTATTATTACATGCTTTGAGTATTACGTTTACTCCTTTGCTATTCGTTTCGTACACGCAGCATAAACCTGGATGTTGACTCCTAGTATCGTAAGAAGTTTCGCATCTGCAATATGAAAGTTCTGTATTTCACTATTTTTCGCTCTTTAATCATAGCACAGCAGCAGCTATGGATTCTCTGTTTCGTACACATATATATTTACATACGCAAAAGTGCATATGTATACACACGCACATACACTTACACGTACGGGCGCACGCACACACATGCCTGATTCGTAGAAACCTCTAACATCTGCCGTCGTTGTTGCTGCTGCTCGCAGCGCTGCCGGTGTAAAATGGAAAAAAGACGTCAGATTTGCTCAATCGTATGAAATATATCATCAATATTGTGAACGCATGTACAGTATTTACAAATCAAATATTTATTCTCGTTTGAACATGTGTACGAACGGAATAAAAAAAAAGGGAAAAAATATTCTCTCGTGGAGGCATAAACTCTTTTATGCCGCTGCGTTTTACGCGTTGTCGTTGTATATTTCATTATATAATTAAATGTATTCATAATGTTAAATTACAAAAATGGCAACACGAGTTTTACAGCTATGAAGAAAAAAGAGGAATATAGAGGGAAAAATTACTATGTTATGTAGAGCATTCCATTTCAATAATTAAAATGAAAAATTATTTTCATAATTTATCATCAAGGGCCGAAACTCGGTGCGTACGCAGCATCTTTACAAATTTATAGTTATACGTGTAACGAGAATCATTCAAATCGAAAATCAGTCCGGAAAATTTCGGGAACCGCGAGAATACGCGTATCTGTGCACAGCTGCGCTCAGCAATAAGCACTCACACACGCGCGCGCAAGCTTCGTATTCGTATAGTTGATGACAAAAAGGCATAAATTTTGGATTCAGTCCATCGGCAAATGACTATTACATGCGAATACGTACTCGTGTGTGCGTGTGTATGTAACTCCACCTCTATACATGGCAGAATAGATTGTTTATATAGTCCATTCGCGTTTTCAAACAAATGAATCGCTAATACCAAAATCAATAAAACGCAATCCTCTCGATAAACACATAGATCGTAATACGTATACGCGCTGCTGCCGCGGTCGATCGCGGAATATCGCGCGATGCGATGCTAGCCAGTAGCGTCCTATACAGCACATTGGCACGACAGGAAATATATACGGCCACCGCATGCATTTATACGCACTTATATATAGCGCATGCACGCCGAGAGCAGAAGCAACTCTAGCTGCCAAATTGAACGAGAGAGAGAGAGAGAGAGAGCGTATGTGTGCGAATACATGGACGGCAAACGCACGTGTAAAGCCCAATGCGTGGGTCGCAGTATAACGGAGGCAGCTGCCAAGTACAATATCATCCCACCTACTCCTCCCCAACCGAAGTATATACCTATATACAATAAAATCGGAATCAAATTGAGCTTGCAACGCATCTCACTCCCTCGGCTTATTATAGTATTCCGGGTCCGCAGGCGCGATGCGCGCGCGAAGCCATGTGCGGACGATAAACGCTTATATGGGGTTGTATACAGTCGCGAACGTTAGACGTTAATATCACCAACTGCAGCCGCAGCAGCACCAGTAGTAGAAATGCGCTCGGAGCTCTAGTCCGCGCGTGTAATTGGCGCGACTCATCGTCCGTATAACGCAGCAGTTAGAGCATAATAAGCGTTTAGCTGCTGCCATGCGAGCCCCAACAGAAACCGATATTGCTAAAATCTCATTATAAGCGTTTGGCGAATTCTATACCGCATTCGCACTATACAGACACGTATACATTGTGTATATAAAATGTATACGTATAAAGTGTATTACAATCCTGAGCTTGCAGTCGTGCGATCGACGCGAACCCTCGCCCCTGGACCTCCGCAAGCGCGCACGTTTATATACCCGATAAATCCTCGCTAGAGCATCCCGAGCCGCCACGATGATTACTTGCGCAGTTGCGCATCGAGCCACATTATATAGCCACGTTAAATCTAGCTTTAATTTAGAGATGTTAATTGGAGACTTTGCTCGCTTAATCGAGTGTAAACAATTGGCTTCGAGTCTCTCCCTCTCCACTAACTCTAATACATGGAAATCTTCTGGGCAAGTTTATAACATCGAGCTTGCACACTTGCTCCGATTAATGCGTATACGTTCAACTTGTAAGTCGATCGCAAGTTTTAATATATCGATCGAATTCAAGGGTGAGCGCAATAAAAAATCAAGTCAATAAAAAGTCATTGAAAGTGTGAAGTTAATGACGTTCAAAGAATTATAACGATCACTTTTTTTAGGAGAAACTTAATTGTCTCTAGTTTTTATTAAATAGTGTATACAGGATATTTTATGAAAAAAACTGATCTCTGCAAAATTCAAAAGAATGCATGAAAATTCTTTCGTACATAAGTTACATAAATAAATCGAAACCGAAGGTGGAGCATTAATATAACGGGTAAAAATACAAAATTAATTGTTACTGTAAAACAAAATTGTAAATTAACAACTGGGTCATTATAAGTAACCTGAAATTACGGAACCACTCAGGCTTTGAAATTAAAATAATATACCATAATTTTTGTTTTTTACCCTTCTTAAGTTCCACGCAATTGGTTGGAACTTTCATTTTATTCAAGTTGAAACTTATTAATTATTCGTACAAATAAATTAATTATTTCTGCTCTAGGTTAAAATTTCTTCGTCGTTGCTCCAAAAATGTTGCAGCAGGCAACTTTTACGTTTGACGTTATTATCATTACAGAAAACACTGAGCAGTTCACGCGTCGTCGTATGCGAGTGTGTCATTGGTAAAAGTTTTAATGAAAAAAGTCGGGTGCAACGCGAGAACACGATATTGGTGTGCAATAAACAACTAACCTGTTAAGTTTATAATTTCAAAATATCATATACTCTGAGAAACGCTTTGCGTTAACTAATTTAATTTTCCCTGGGCATCAGTCATTGCGCGCAGCGACAACAACTATATGTCGCATTACTTATAGTTGCAAGTCGAATTTGATATAAAACATATTGAAAAATATGAAAATACTCTATTTTAATAATGAAAAATTTCTCTTTGCACCGCGTGCTCGACTTTTGGTAGCTGAAAATAGAGAAAAAAAATAAAAGGCCAACACAGCCACGATGGTGCAGGTGCGTGTGTCATCGCGCGCTGCAGTGCATAATGAAATTCTTTAAATTGAAAATTTTCACAACTCACTTTCTCTGTGCACTGGGGGGTGGGCGCACCTCGAAAATCCATTTAAATAAATCTTCAGTTTAAGATCGTGAAAGTTGGCATTGTTAAAAGTTTTTCTATACCCGAGGAGGGATAAAATTATATATAGCCTAGTCGCGCAGCGTCGAAGGCCATAATTCACAAAAAAGGCTTTATGCCGAGCGAGATATTAGATACGAGTTGATCGAGCTTCAGCTCTCTCTCTCTCTCTCTCTCGCTCTATGGATGCTTGTATCGTGTTGCTCCTCTCTCTTCTCTCTTCTCTCTGTGGTGCAGAATGAAAAGCTTTGAAAAGCCCTGGCTCGGAGCGCTATATATACGCGTGTACACCGAGGTATGACAATCTCGCGCGCATGTGGTCTTTTTCAAAGAAAATTTTAAGCGCCGCACGTCGCCTCACCCAAACTTGCGTTAGCTATACTCGTAATAATACCGATAAGTTGGCCTTCTGCTCTTGTACTAGGTGTTAACCCCAAGAATGTATTTTTTTATTCTTCCGCAAGGGATAGAAAAAGGGAAAAGGAAAAAAGAAAAAGAATTCTATGATCGCACAATAGTGTGTGCTGTAAAAATCGATAAATAATCCGCTTTAATTACGAGAAACGCGCTGTATTAGACAGGTTTAAAAAATAAAAGAATTACTCGTTCAGAGGTACTGGTAAAAAAAAGCTGGTAAATTGAATCGAACTCAAATGCGGTTTTCTACTTTTGCGCGCAGGAAGCGCTAAATCCGTCAGACCACAGCGAAAGCTTTGAGCGCGTAAAGGTACGAAAGAAAAAAAAGAAAAAAGGGGCAAAGAACATTTCCCAAAGAACCATTACGCTTTTCCCTAGCTGTTGAGAGTGAGTGGCCTGAAGAGAAAGCGGCGTTAGCGAGCGCGTGGCGAGTACACTATACATATATATATATATAAATATATATATGATATGTACGCTAAAAACCAACTGGGCTGACCCGGGCGAATTGGAATCGGACCGGCTGGCGGGGGGCTACGATCGGGTCTAGCAGTGACAGTAGCAAGGGAGACTGACAATTCGAAATCCGTCGTGTTCTCACATCTAGAGTTTGCGCGCGCGAAAAGCTCTCTCTATTTCTCCTCTCGTCGACGGCTCGGGAGTGTGTGTAAGTATATATGAGAGAAAGTAAATAAAACGAAAGCGAGAAGCGTATCCAGGTACTGTAGGCAGTGTTACGAGTCGCTACTTTTCGTCTACAAATTCGAGTGAGTATGTGGGTGCATATGTGTGCGCCACTACAGTAATAGTTATGCGCCAGTAGTATATCTATACGGCCAAACTAAAACTCATTGAAATTTAATACTCCATTTGAAATTGTAATTCGTTTGTGGCGCAACGAATATCAAATGTATGTATATAAATATTCGCGTCGATAGAGAAAGACGAGATTTGCAGAGAGATCATTCAAACGAATGACTACCGAATAGTGAAGTACGACCTGT